CTCCGCCGGGGCCGAGAGGTTGGGTTGCTGCCCCCCCCGCCCGCCTCCGCCATGGCCAAGAGGGCGGCGCGGGGCTCCGGGGCCCCCCCCGGGGAGGACTTCTCCTTCGTCAGCCCGCTGGTCAAGTACCTGCTCTTCTTCTTCAACCTGGTCTTCTGGGTGAGCGGGATCGGGGCCCCCGGGGGTTGAGTTGGGGGGGAGGGGGAGGGCTAGCCCCGGCCCCCTTCCGTGCACCCCCCCGGGGTGGGGGGTGAGGGGCAGGCATTGCACGCGTTGATCACCTTTGCACGTGTGTATGTGTGTGTGTTGGGGGGCAGTGGGCGTCCCGTCGGGGTGGTCGCTGTGCAGCCGGTGCAACGTGGGAAACCGGTGCCAATTCGACTCCGAAGGACTGGCCAGGCTCCCTCGAGCTGGACTAGGGCGCTTACTTGTGGAGGACAAGCAAAAAAAATATAACAAACCCTTAATTTCCCCGACGGGTCCTCCTGCCTTTGTTTAAAATGGTATCTGCAGCCCCCCCAATGGTCTGCATGAGATCCCTTCTTTAAATCAGCTGGTCAAGCAAGAGAAACCTGGCTGGTTAGCCTCTGGAACTCCCTGCTATGGGGAAGCTGGCCAAGGAGGAACTGGCTGGGTTTTCTGGTCTGGGAGGAGGGGTGCCGAACCACCTGAGTTAGAAAGGAGAGGGAGGGTCTGGGTTCCAAGGAGAGTGGCCTGGGGTCGACATTGGAAAGAACCGCTTGGCAATTGAGTTAGGAAATTTATGCACAGAGGAATGGAAAAGAGAAGGGTGAAACCACTCTTCCGCAGCACAGCCTGCATGAGGACAATTCCCATCAGCAGCAGCTTTCCCCATGTTGTACCGTTTTTAATCTACATGGTCTGAACGTCAGTCATTTCTAACTGAGTGGAAGACTGTCACGGAGGACTCTCTTTGGTTGGGTGACCCTGGTGCAAATTTAATAATAATTCAGGGGACGCCAGAGTTGAAAATTCTTGTTTAGTTCTCAAGTCACCAGGCCCTCCTGCCTTCCACTGCCTCCTGGAGTTGGGTCAAATTCATGTTGGTAGAGTTGTTGCATGTCCTGCACTCTGGGCTCCTCACTGAGCATCCTAACTCAGTCTTGCTCAGCCTGCTCTGATCTAGAACCCTGGGGGTATCGGGGATTGCAGAATCGGGGAGCCTGCTAAAGTCTCCCGCCTGCGCAGAGGATGATGTGCGGTGTGGGTGGGGCAGGCGCCTTGTCATTTCTGGACGCTGGCCTGCGTCGTACGGGCCAGCCTCCTGCTCGGGACCCCTCTGAGATTCTCCGCTTGTTTCTCTCTGCAGATGATTTCCATGGTGATGGTGGCCGTCGGCGTCTACGCCCGCCTGATGAAGCACGCAGGTAAGGAGACGGCAAGCAAAAGGGACACCTCGATGCCGTAGAACGGCGGCCGGACTCAGACGGACGGGCTGCTTCTTCTTCCTCTCTTGCAGAGGCGGCCTTGGCTTGCCTGGCGGTGGACCCGGCCGTCCTGCTGATCCTCATTGGTGTCCTGATGTTTTTCGTCACCTTTTGCGGCTGCATCGGCTCCTTGCGGGAGAACATCTGTTTGCTGCAGACGGTGAGTAACACACACCCCCGCGGTCTTCCTGGGCATCACCCTGGTGGCGGGTGGGCAGGAGGAGGAAAAGGCTGGGTGGGGTTAGGGTTGGTGCCAGGATTCTCCTTGTTATCCCTCATTCTGCTGGCTAGGGCTGATGGGAGTTGTAATCCAACTGTGTGCCCACGGCCACATCTTCCACTTGCTTGTCTTTGCTTGGTCATTGGAAGCAGCTGGGGGGCTCTTTTCTGTTCCCTTCTGACCACCGCACTCTCTTAGAAGCCCCCTCCCTCTGTTTTGGCCCCCAGATGCAAATTGTGTCTCGGGGGGGGGGGCTCTGGAGTGGAATCCATTCGCATTGCATTTTGTTCCCTCCAGAGTCTGTTTAAAGCCATAAAATACTTTTTAAAGAAACCTTTAAGTGACTTGTGGCTGGCTTCATGTTTTAAAAAATGAGATATTTCCAACCCCTTAAAAACACACACACATACACACACACAACTTGGGGGTGGAATGCGGTGTAGGGTGCAGAATGCGCCCCTGCAGAGTTTCAGAAGGTTGTTTGTATCTTGAAGTCCACTTTTTTTTGTTGGCAAGAAGCTCAGGGGGAGCTGATGTTGGTTGGGAGCGCCCACCCCCTCCGTCCCAGCGTTAATCCACCCCAGTCACGCTGAAGGTAGGAAAAGGGGAGTTTGGTTTGCCTGGCCCTGAACCCCACAGAGGAAGGGGGCTCCTCTCCCTTATTCAGAGGCCGCTGATTGTGGCATCACAGGGTGGGGTGGATGCGCTCCGGGTTGTCCTCTGAAGTTTGAGCGAGTCGCTCCAAGGGTTGAACCTTGGTAAGGTTCAGCATCTTGAGCCGCTCTGGGAACGGGCGGACTGAAGCGCAGGACATATCGGAAAGCCGTCAAAGAGAAAGCCATTGGAGGGAAAAATGCCTCAATGAAAATTAGAAGACACTCAGCACACACCCACACCCTGCAAAAAGTCCCATTTTTAGCATCCGGTCGGTTGCTGGAAACGCACCTTACCTGAAGGGGATGGTTCGCTGGTACAAGGATGACCAGAGGAGGCCAGCCTGGCTTTCTTTTGGGAGACAAGATCTGCAGCCTGGGAGCAGCCCCCCGAGAAGACCCTCCCCAGCCTCTGTCTCTTGGGTGATTTGTGCTTTTCACGCTTTTGGGTGCGTCATCGTTGGGGATTCTACCCGAAAAGAAGAGGGAGGGTTGCGACCGCTTTTGGGTGCGTCATCGTTGGGGATTCCACCCGAAAAGAAGAGGGAGGGTTGCGGTGGTTTGTGGTTCATCAAGTTTGCAAAGAGTGAGAGCTGGCCTTGTCAGATGCTCTCCTTCTGCCCACCCTACAGTTCTCCGTCTGCCTGACGGTCATCTTCCTGCTGCAGCTGGCGGCCGGCATCCTGGGGTTCATCTTCTCCGATAAGGTGGGTGCCCAGAGTCTCTGTGTGCGCGCGTGTGATGTTCTCCTCCCCCCCCTTTCTCCTTAAAAAAAGGATTTAAGTTGACTTCCATGGTTAAAAAGACAAAAATTTAAAACTACAAAAATATAAAACTTTAAAAAAAGTAACTATACAATTATTTTTAAAAGAATTAAACAAATACAATACTGTGTTAAAATGGTAAATAAATGCAATACGAGAGAGAGAGAGAGAGAGAGAGAGAGAGAGAGAGAGAGAGAGAGAGAGAGAGAGAGAGATGGTTGTGAGATTCTGGATAGTGCAAAACCCTAAATGATTCCAACCTGTAATAAGTAAAACGGAGATGTTGAACTTTTTTTTATAGAAGCAGTGGAAATATCGTCTTTTTCTCAACCAATTCAGAATGAAAGTATTCCCAACGTGGACTTCTAGCTGCGCTAGGATTCAGGATCCTGCGGTTCAACCTCCCTGCTTGGCTGTGAAAACACGTGTGGGGGCGGAATGGCACTGGCAAATCACTTCCGACGGCCCCCATGCACCTTGAAAATCCAGAGGTCGGAAGTGATTTGCAGTGGTGCATGACAATCAGTTTTCCTAAATACAGTGGTGCCTCGCTTTACGATCGCTTTGTTTTACAACGAAATCGCATCACGATGAAGTGTGGTGCCTCGCTTTACGATCGCTTCATTTTACGACGAAATCGCATCACAATGAAGTTTTTGCTATCGCAAAAGCGATCGCAAAACAATGTTTCCTATGGGGTTTTTTTGCTTTGCGATGTTTGGTTCCCTGCTTCGGGAACGGATTTTCGCACAGCTGATCGGCGGTTTCAAAATGGCCGCCGGGTAAAAAAAATGGCCGCCCACTGTTTTCTGGGACGGATTCCTCACTGCACGGGCAGCGAAAATGGCCGCACTATGGAGGATCTTCGCTGGACGGTGAGTTTCAAGCCCATAGGAACGCATTAATCGGGTTTTAATGCATTTCTATGGGCTTTAAAAAATCGCTTTACGATGTTTTCATTCTACAGCGATTTCGCTTGAACGAATTAACATCGTAATGCGAGACACCACTGTGTTTGCCAATAGCCATGCCAAGGAGGCCACTAGAGGGAACCAGAGAGTCTTCCTGTGTTTTTTTTTTAAAGCAAGAATAGACTGAAAATGTGTGATTCAGTAGATGGCCTCTCAGAAAAGGGATAAGAATAATGGCAAATTACGTTATTATTGACCGTGCCAGACAGTCTTCAGCTAGGATTCCTGCCTTGAGCAAGGGGCTGGGTTTGATGGCCTCAACACCCCCTTTCGACTCCATGATATCATGGTTCTTTGATCCTGGCTGCTGGGAAGTAATACTGAACACAACCAGTTCCTTTAGAGCAGTGGTTCCAGAAAAGGGATAAGAATAATGGCAAATTACGTTATTATTGACCGTGCCAGACAGTCTTCAGCTAGGATTCCTGCCTTGAGCAAGGGGCTGGGTTTGATGGCCTCAACACCCCCTTTCGACTCCATGATATCATGGTTCTTTGATCCTGGCTGCTGGGAAGTAATACTGAACACAACCAGTTCCTTTAGAGCAGTGGTTCCTAAGCTTGGTGTGTGTGTGTGTGTGTGTGTTTTTAAGCAAGAACAGTTCCTTTAGAGCAGTGGTTCTTAAGCTTGGGTGACTCAGGTGTTCATGGACTGAAACTCCCACAAGCCTTTGCCACCAACTGTGTTGGCTGGGGTTTATGGGCGTTGTAGTCCAAGAACATCTGGGGTCCCAAACTCTGGTTCCCCCCCCTACTGGAGGATAGGAGGCTGAGGGCTGTGGAACTGGGACCCCTTTTTGCAAAGAGGGTGGGTGCGATTTGCTCTGTACTTTAAAGAGTGTTGGGAAATTACCCGTGTTGGAGGATTCTGGGGATCATAATTTGAAAAAAGGAATTTGCTTTTACCTCTGGAACATCCTCCTTTCCTGTTGATTTTTCTCTCCCCCACCCCCAAACTTCCTAGCGGTCTTTCTGCCCCCACTTCTCCATAAGCTTATTACAGTGGTCCCCAACCTTGGGCCTCCAGATGTTCTTGGACTTCAACTCCCAGAAATCCTGGCCAGCAGAGGTGGTGGTGAAGGCTTCTGGGAACTGTAGTCCAAAAACATCTGGAGGCCCAAGGTTGGGGGACCACTTTGCAGCTAAGAAGCAAACCCTAGGAGCAAAGCCTGATAAAACTGGGTGCGTTTAGCCTTGAGAAAAGAAGATGGAGGGGAGATAAGAGAGCACTTTTCAAAGACTGGAAAGATATTTCTATAGAGGAGGGGCAGGATCAGTTCTCGATCCTCCCAGAGTGCAGGAGACGCAACAATGGCCTCAAGTGACAGGAAGCCAGATTTAGGCTGAATGTCAGAAAAAACTCCCTAACTGTTAAGAGCAGTATGACAACGGAAGCCAATGACCTCATGGGGAGGTGGTGAGCCCTCCAATGCTATGGGGAGGCATTCAGGAGAAAAGGGGGACCACCCTCAGTCAGATCTGCTTTGATTTGGATTCGTGCCGTGAGCTGGGGGCTGGACTCGGTCATCTTACAGACCCCTCTCAACTCTCTCCATGATTCTATGAAACAGCCATGTCTCTCTCTATTCCAGGCACGAGGGAAAGTAAGTGAGATTGTCAACAATGCCATCGTTCATTACCGAGATGACCTGGACCTCCAGAATCTCATTGACTTCGGCCAGAGGGAGGTAGGTTTCAACCAGACCTTGGAAAAGTTTCTCTTTCTTTTCCAACTGCATCTCCTTGAGTCCCCCCAACCCCCCCGCTGGCTCATAGAAGCTGAGCATGTTGGCTCGTGGAGTAGAGAATATTCTGAGAATATTCTTTTCTTTTTTTAAAGTGACTTTTCTAGGTTCTGGCGAGGTTTAACCTGCAACCTTCCCCTGAGTTTAGAAATTAGGGATAGGATGTGGCATCCCACGGATGCCAGTGCAACCCTGTGGCTTCATCATCATCATCATCATCATCATCTCATCATCATCATCATCATCATCATCATCATCATCATCATCATCATCATCATCATCATCATCATCATCATTTGCCATTGTCCAACCTCTTTGTTCTAGTTTATAGGAGGTGTGCAGAAGCAAAGGATCCAGTCTGGCTGTACTTATCTTAATCCTTGTGGAAACTGGTGATTCCCATTCAGTGGGGAGGTGATGGTGGGGCATGTGCTCCTGGTTTTCGTCTGAACTTTAAAGGAGCCGCTGAAGCACTTTACCTAAGGAGAAAAACCTGGCACGGATTTCCTGCCTGCAGGGTCTCAAACTCTATTGACCCCTGAGACTGCTTCTATAGACCTCTGACCAATCAGAATAGAGGGAAGGCAGCACGCCCCCCCAGGGGGGGGTTGGGAGGTGAGAGGCCTGGAGAGGCCTCCGCCTGGACAGGATCTGCTGGGCTGGACCACCTTCTATCTATAGCAGGGGTGGCACCACCTGCAACCTCCTGAAAATGGTTTTGTGCCTCAGACAACGCTTTTTAAGATGAATTGCATCCAGGATGGAACAGTCATTCGCCTGCCTTTCCCTGCACAGTTTAATGGCCCCTGGTGACGGTTTTCCCAAACTCAACCCCCCCCAGGGGGGGGTTGGGAGGTGAGAGGCCTGGAGAGGCCTCCGCCTGGACAGGATCTGCTGGGCTGGACCACCTTCTATCTATAGCAGGGGTGGCACCACCTGCAACCTCCTGAAAATGGTTTTGTGCCTCAGACAACGCTTTTTCCCCCTGGCCATAAAAGATGAACTGCATCCATGATGGAACAGTCGTTTGCATGCCTTTCTCTGCACAGTTTAATGTCCCCTGGTGACTGTTTTCCCAAACTCAGCATGGACTTCTAAGCAAATACAGTACACGTATCCTGGGAGTTAAATGCAGTCTTGGGAGGGGTCCCAATCTTGTCCGTCCTGCAAGCTTCAGAGACTTGCCCCCTTTTAAGCTTCTACCTACCTTCCATTACTTTTCATTCCTATGTGCTGCTTAGGTCAACTTTGCTGCTTTTTAAAAAAAACAAACAAGGGTGCATTTTTAGTTTATATTCAGAGAGATTTCTTCTCAACTTGGAAAAGTGCCTCTCTTTTTTTGGGGACTGCATCTCTCAGAATCTCCTAGCCCCCTGGGCTAGTTGGAGTCTCCCCTCCAAAAAAGGATCTTTTTCCAAGCTGACTGCCCTGGCGCTTACCCGTCAGTGCTGTGTACAGCTAGCTTTTCCCATCCTTTTTTGCAGGAATAGCTTTTTCTTCCGAGCCCGATGCTGGAAATGAAAATAAGGCACAACGGCATTCTTTTGGGAGGAGCTGGTCTATCCACAGGTCTTGGGGAGCTCTGGGGTCCCTTTTGCCACACACACCCCCCACCCTTTTAGGTTGCAAGTCTGTAGACAAGGCTTTCTTTCTCTGACGGTGGGTCCTCCTCGCCCTCACCCCGGCCCTTCCCCTGGATTCCCTCGGTCTCTCTTGCTCCTCCTTCCTCCCGCCTTTCCTTCCTTTGCAGTTCAGCTGCTGCGGGGGCGTCTCCTACAAAGACTGGTCCCAAAACATGTATTTCAACTGCACGGCCCACAACCCCAGCCGGGAGCGATGCTCCGTGCCTTATTCTTGCTGCTTGCCAGACCACGACCAGGTAGGCGAAGCGGACGTCCGTGCCTCTAGGGGTGTGTTTTTATTTTTTTACATCCGGGAGGGAGCGGGTTCAAGACCCGCTTTCTCCATGTGAGGCAAGAGCACCGAGACTTCTCTGCCCCTTCCTTTGGTCAGAGGGAGAGATCAGCCGAGCTGGGGGGGGGCAGAGAAGCCTGAGCTGCTGCCGGGACTGGGAGATCCGTCCAAGAGGGGCCGGAAGCCGTCACGCTGGGCCTGGCGAGGGGCTGATCGAGTTAAGAGGAGGCAGGGGGTTAGGGGAGCAGCCACACCTGCGCTGCCCATCGGGACGAACCGATTCGTGCCCATCTCTAATGGTGAGAGCAGATTGAGATGAAGCTGAGCCCGGGAGGGGATGGGGAAAGAAAGCCATCTCAGCAAGAGGTGTCGTTGCTGCCCCTCGGGGTTTTTTGGGGGGGCTGCCTTGGCAAGGTGGCACCTGCTTGTCACTGAGTGAGCTCAGCCAGCCCCTCCACTGGCCTTCTCTGCATGACTCTGTGACCTTTTTTTATGCAGGGGATGGATGTCAAGTGGAGAGAGGGAAGCTCTTTTCCCTCTCACTCAAGACCAGAACCAGGGGACCTCCACTCCGAAGCAGGGTTGGGAGAGGGAGAACAGACCAAAGAAAGTATTTCTTTACCCAGTGTATTGTTAGTCTGTGGAACTCCTTGCCACAGGATGTGGTGATGGCATCTGGCCTAGCTGCCTTTAAAAGGGGATTAGACAGATTTCTGGAGGAAAAAACCATTGCAGGTGATAAGCCATGATGGGAATGTACAATCTCCAGGCTTAAAGGGAAGGAACCTCCAAAGGCCAGATGCAGGGGAAGAGGGGGATCAGGAGACAGGTATCCAGTTGTCTCTCAGGTGCTCCCATCTGGTGGGGACCATGTGAGAGACAGGGAGCTGGACTAGAGGGGCCCTTGGCCTGATCCAGCACAGGGCTCTTCTGAGGTTCTTCTGATGCTCCAGACGGCAGGGTCCAAAGGAGAGGGATTCAGATTACGAGAAAGGAATATTTTGCTTCAACATTAGAATGAACGTCTTGACAGTAAAAGCGGCTCAACAGCAGGATGGACTTCACTCGGAGAGCAGCAGGCCCTCAATTGAAAAAGAGAGAGAAAGAAAGCAATCTGTGGACACCCTTGGAAAGCCAGGGTGGGCAAGACCTTTATTAGACCAATTTAAAAAAAACTCCCAAATGTAAACCAGCATTTGGCTCCTTCCAGGTCTTCCACAGGGTGGTGCAAGAAAAACGGAACAGTTTCAAAAATCATGGCCCAATGTGTGTGACAGGCACTTCTTTCCTGGACGGGTTTAAAGGGAGGCTGAGCGGCCGCCGGTCAGGGACCCCTGAGCTGCAGGAAATCCCTTCTGGGGTCCCTTCTGGTTCCACAGCTCTGTGATTCCACGACGTCTCACCGAAACAATATGGTGTCACCCCCTCAGGGTGTCACCACCGGGAAGGACCTGCTGTTTCTACACAGACAGATACGTAGAGTATCTGGTGGCGCCCAGTGGGGAGATCCAGGGACCTGGACTCGAGGGTTCCTTGGCCTGACCCAGCCGACATCCTTTCCACGTTCTGACATTCTTTCTTTCCGGACAGTCGGTCATCAACACTCTGTGTGGCCGGGGGATGCAGGCGCTCGGCTACCTGGAAGCCAGCGAGTTCGTCTACACCCACGGCTGCATCGACAAGCTGGTGAACTGGATCCACAGCAACCTCTTCCTGCTGGGCGGGGTGGCCCTTGGCTTGGCTGTTCCCCAGGTGAGTCCTCCCTCCCCTTCCCGGATGGATGGGTGGATGGATGGATTTTAAAACATTCAGGTCCACCTGTCTCTCTCAAAAGGACCCAAGGCGCCCCGAGAACCTTCCCGGTCACCCGATGAGCTGGAAAAAAAGTAGAGCCGGGGAAGATGCTGTTTTTGACTTATAACACCCCCCCCGCCTCCTTGTCAACATGTTTGTGTGTTCTTTGCCCTTAAGTCAGAACTGACTTCCAGAGACCCTAATAGGTCTTTCAAGGTAATATTGAAGGAGTGGTTCTCCCAGTGAGTTTCTGTGGCAGAGCGGGGATTTGAACCCTTTTCCCCAGAGTTTTCAGTCCATCACTCTATCCACTACACCAACACTGGGAATCTTAGTCAACAGGGCTGAATATATTTCCAGTATTTTCGCCCAAGTCCATGAGGACTAGGACTCTGGTTCCTGTTTTGTTTTGTTTTTAAAGAAGGACGTATTTCAGAGGCTCATGCCATCGGACTGATCTGCAGCCTGCGTTTCATAAAAGAGGGAGGAGGGATTATATTTTTTTTCCCAAGTTTTAGATGGAAGGTGATGGTTAGCCTTTATCGCCTGCTGCTTTTACGCGCCCTGTTTGGTGGGTTGCTTTCCTAGAGGACATTTAGGAGGGTGGTCTTCTGGTTTTGTTGGACTTAAACAAGAACATTCAGAATGTTTTTAATTTAAAACAGGTAGGCTTAAAGGAAGAACTCATGGTACGGGGTCCACCAAATGAAAAGCTGTGCTGGGGAGGGGAAGACCAGCACGTAGGTTATAAAAATGTGTGTGTGTCTCCCCCCCCCCGCCAACCTCAAGAAGCAAGAGCCACAACTACCATCTCTGTAGTCTGGACAAGTACCCACCGAGGGCAAAGGGTTTTTTGGGGGGGGCTAGGATCATTGAATCACCCCCAAACCCTAAAAACTACAGAGTTGACCCAAATTAATCCATTGGGGAAAAGACCTCCAGAAAAATACCGTCCGCCTTCCGATAGGGCTCGGCTAGGGAAGCTTCCCGGCTGAAATTCTGCAGAGCCACTGCTGCTGCCGGCCAGTGCTGGCAGCGCTGGCCTAGATGGGCCAAGCCTCTATAGAAGTCAGCTTTATGGCTTTGCAGGCTCCTGGCCAGCTCCCTTGGTATCGAAGCTGATTGCAAGCCTTGGTTCTCTTTTAAAACACACACCAGGCAGGCCCACGCCCAAATCAAAACTGAACTCTTTTTTAAAAAAATGTTTTTATTTAATATTTTTATTAAATTCCACAACATAAACCTACCACCACCAAAAAAAGGACAATAAAATACAATTACTGTACTTATCACATTAGTGCCACATCACCTTCGGGGCTAGCATTAAACTTCATTCAGTCCATTTTCTCTCCAAAAATTCATTGTTTCTTCCCTCGGTGTACACCCTTTCCCTCTCCGGAATACATATTCCAAGAATACACTCCATATTTTCTTGGAATCATTATTTTTTGATTGGCCTCTTCTTATTTTCATATCCCATGCCAGTTTATCATTAATTGCCATATCCCCTAGTTCTCTGTACCATTCCTCCAAACTCGGCTGGTTATTGTTTCTCCAGTTTCTTGCAAAAAATTAACCTTGCTGCCGTAATCATTACTGTATTACTATTAAGTCCTTATTTTCTTTCAGCAATTGATCCTCCTTAACCAAATTCAATAAAGCCATTAACGGGGACATTTGAACGTTTAATCCCCAAACCGAACTTCTCTGGCTTCTCCCCCTTCTCCTCCTCCTCTCTCTTCCACAGCTGATTGGCGTCTTGCTATCGCAGTTGCTGGTCAGTCAGATCCGAGACCAGGTTAGACTCCAGCTCTACAACCAGCAACATCGAGCCGACCCCTGGTATTGAAAGGGCCACCCCCCTCGATGGAGGCAGAAGAGAGGGTCCCTTTACTCAGCAGGCTCCCTCTTGAGCGGGACGCCCCGGACGAGGGGATCCCCCCCCCAGTGAGCGTCTGCCATGGTGGCTGCAGGAAACTTGGAGGAGACTCCGTTTCAACAAACGCTACACCTCCCGTGTTGCTGGAAAATGGAGCCTTCTGATGGCAGGATCCGTCCTTGCTGGCCATGCACGGCCCTTGGGAGTCATCAGGAATGTGGACCCTCTGGGTTCTCTGACTAGGCCATTGAATCGGTCGCCTGCATTGTTAGCTCCTGCCTTTGGGGGTGGGCTGAATCAGGGGTTCCCGACCTGGGGTCCCCAGGCGTTCTTGGACTGCCGTTCCCAGAAGCCTTCGCCACTTGCTGGGCCGGCTAGGATTTCTGGGAGTTGCAGTCCAAGAACATCTGGGGACCCCCAGGTCAGGAGGAACCACTGGTCTAAATGACCTCTTAAGGTGCCTTGTCTCTTTCTGACTCTTCAACAAAAATGACCAACAGGAGGAAAGCAAGAACTGGAAAGCCAGTCTGCCCCCCCCCCCGGGAAGCGCCCAGTGGCTGAGGGAGGCATGTGACGGGCAGGAACTCTGTTCGAACAGAGAAATGTCACGTGTCAGTTTGCGTTGGGCATCCTCCGGCCCTGGCAGTTCCTGTAAGAGCGGCCGTGGTCACACCGACACAGAGAGATGGAAATACCCACCAGATTTCCCTGGTGCTACCCTCTTGGATAGCAGGATGGCGGGAGAACGTGAAACCAGGCGCTTTTCCAAATCTGCTTGATCTACCACGATGACAGCAGGTGATCGTTTCTTTTCCTACTGTGAGAGAGTTCACACACCGGTTTTTCTCAGCTCCAGGCATGCACGCAGCTTTGCACATCCCCCTCAGTAATGCTGTCTTTGCATCCCTGTGGGAAAAGACCAGATTGCATCTGATTGCGTGACTCCCTCCGTGTCCTGATGTGACACTGCTTCCTCTGTGTCGTGGCGTGATGTCTTAATCTTGCAGGCGGTGGGGCTCCAGTTCCTGGCTGGGATGGCTCAAAGCGGACCAGCTTAATTCTTGGATCTGCTACCATCCCCTGGATTTGAGGATTGTCTGGCTGGAGCGCGTCACTGCAACAGCGCGCTGATAACTACCCGTCTGGGGATTCTGTTCCCTTCTTTTCAGCCACCTCACGGTGTGTCTCCTTATGGATGCACCACAGTCCAAAATTACATTGTATTCAAATTCTGCGTTTATCTAAAACCAGGTAAGGAATGAAGAGTGGTTGGGTTTTGTTCTTTTTGGTGGATGAGCCTCCAAGACTTTAGAAAAGGAAGTGTTGTGGGTGCGACTACACAGCAAGGGAAATGTGAATTCACTTCCATTTATTCAATATGAAGTTACAACAGAGAATTCAACTTTGCTTTAAGTAGTCTCACAGAGATACAGGAGAAAAGTCTTGTTTGCACCTTGTTTGCAGTTCTATTGAAACCCTGAAGGGGGTGCTGTTGAAAGGACCTGTCTAAACAAACTGTAATAAGGGTTTCCTCCTCTTGTTAATATTTTTTCCAGGTGTTTTAGCACATCAGCACAGGAACCAAGCTGTTTGTGTTGTTTTTTAATATTAAAATCTTGCCTGCTTTGCAAACCATTTCAAGCTGTGAAAAAAAATTCTTGCCAAGAGAGGTTTTCCTCTCATCCTAGCTGTTTATAAAAAGAAGGAAACTTGCCAAGCAGGACCATAAGCCGTCAGACAGCTGAACCAATGTGAGTTGATCCTTTATGTAAAAAATTAGAAGCTCCAGTAGTGGAGGGGAAAAGTGTGTATTTTCAGGAGGGATCTCCGGGCAGCTCTTGCATCCCATGATCAACAACAAACAATGTGAACCAGCCTGCCCCAAACCTGTAGCATTTACAGTAGGACCCCATATCGAAGGGATCAGCCTCTGCAGTTTTATTTATCCACGGTCTGAAAATACTAAAAGAAAAACTTCCAAATAAACTGTTTTTACATGTATTACCAAAACCGACCACTAGAGACAGCCAGAGATCATGCTATAAATGTGGTACAGTGCTTGTTTGTGAGGAATACTTAGCATGATCTCTGACGGCCTCTAGTGGCCAGTTCAGGTAATGCACGTGAAAATATTTTTTTTCTGGGTTTTTTTCTCCTTTAACCATTATATATAGTATATATTTACCATGCTATATAATCACATTCACTATTATCTGTGATTTTCAGTATCCACAGGGGGCTTGGAATCAATCCCTAGCAGATATGGCGGGTCCTGTTGTACTGAATGTTTCCCCAGTGTCGTTGCACTCTTAAGAGAACAGGATAAAGGGGAGGCCGAAGAAGGGCGCCCTAGCAAGGAATGGGAGGCGTCACCTTCAAATGCAGAAGATGGCAGGCAGAGAGAGAGGTTGGCCTTCCAGGGTCCCAAAAGACTTTCCTCCCCCAGAGGTAACTTGTGAAGAGCTGGCAGAAGGATGTTAGAGGGTGAGGGAGGACTCGCTACAGCCACTTTGAAGAGTAAATAAATGCCTGTCAACTGACCCCCTGGTTTCTGTGTGTGGTCTTATTCAAGTGAAGGTTTGTTATTGTTGAGTCGTGACCAACTCTTCGTGACCCCATGGAGCAGAGCACACCAGGCCCTCCTGTCTTCCACTGCCTCCCGGAGTTGGGTCAAAGTCATGTTGGTCGCTTCGATGACCCTTTCCAACCATCTCGTCCTCTGCCGTTCCCCTTCTCCTCTTGCTTTCACGCTTTCCCAACATCAGGGTCTTTTCCAAGGAGTCTTCTCTTCTCAGGAGATGGCCAAAGTCTTGGAGCCTCAGCTTCAGGATCTGTCCTTCCAGTGAAGGCTACCTCTCGCCAAACTCATTATGCGCTCTCTCCAGGAACTCTGTCCTGCCTAGGAGCCTGATGAAGCTTTGAAGGGCTTCTTGTTCTGAAGAGGATGGACGGGTGTCGGACACAAAACAACAAAAACGAGCGACAAAAAATTGTGACACCTTGGAGGCTTAACTGCTCTGTTTTAATATGAGCTTTTGTGGGTCAAGTCCACTTCCTGAGATCTTTCAGCAAGACTAAAAGGCTGTCCTATTTATATGTGGCCCAACCACCAGGCGGGGAGACACAGTGCAATTAGCAAAGAAGTAGGGTGGTCAAGGGACATGGTGGTCCACTTCCTGAGATCTTTCAGCAAGACTAAAAGGCTGTCCTATTTATATGTGGTCCAACCACCAAGCGGGGAGACACAGTGCAATTAGCAAAGAAGTAGGGTGGTCAAGGGACATGGTGGCGCTGCAGGTTAAACCGCAGGAGCCTCTGGGCTGCAAGGTCAGAAGACCAGCCGTCGTAAGATCGAATCCACGCGACGGAGTGAGCGCTCGCCCGTTCAGACTAAAAGGCTGTCCTATTTATATGTGGTCCAACCACCAAGCGGGGAGACACAGTGCAATTAGCAAAGAAGTAGGGTGGTCAAGGGACATGGTGGCGCTGCAGGTTAAACCGCAGGAGCCTCTGGGCTGCAAGGTCAGAAGACCAGCCGTCGTAAGATCGAATCCACGTGACGGAGTGAGCGCCCGCCCGTTCATCATCCCAACTCCTGCCAATCTAGCCGTTCGAAAGCATATAAAAATGTGAGTAGATAAATACTGGTAGGTACCACCGTGGTGGGAAGGTCACGGCGTTCCGTGTCTAGTCCCGCTGCCCACATGACCACGGCAACTTGTCTATGGACAAACGCTGGCTCTATGGCTTGGAGACAGGGATGAGCACCGCGCCCTAGAGTCGGACACGACTGGACTAAATGTCAAGGGGAACCCTTTACCTTAGGGTGGTCAAGCTGTGGATAATTTGTTATTCATGAAACTACAAGGTAACAATAATTCACGCAAGTAGCAGATGGTGTGTGTGTGTGTGGGGGGGAATTAATGCAGGATTCTGCACTTGTTTCAGGTTTTTTGCTCTCTTGTCTGATCTGCGTGCACAGATTAAGACAGCGACTTAACAAACCACAGCAGTTGAGCCTGGAGTCGGAGGTGGATTGTTCCGTTTTAGAAAAACAGAAATCCGAGTGGGCCAGGATCGGTCCCCACGAGGCTGGTGGAGTTTAGGGAAGGGCTAGGAATGGCCAGTAGAAACACACCACACAGTGGGGCTTGTGCTTCAACGCATCATCCCTGAGATGGAGGCAGTGGTCGAATCCTGGGTATCAGGAGACAGAGATCTCGTGGTCTCCCGGATGCTCCCAGAGGGATCTGGTGGGATCATAGTGGGATACAGGGAGCTGGACTAGAGGGGCCCCTGGCCTGATCCAGCAGAGGGCTCTTCTTTGGTTCTAACTGAAGAATCTAGTGTCTCCATTCTCTTATCCGGCTCCGTGTTAAGACTGCCATTCCCATCACATAGCAACCGGGGTGATGAGGCTTGTCCTACACCACAGGAAGCTGTCAGACTGAGTAGGTGAGTTGGAGATAATAGGAGTTATAGTCCCACTGTATGGACACTCGCCCATGAGGTCGTAATCCAGCACATAGGAGAGATGGCATGGCTCCTAGACAAGGCTTCGGATCTTGCAGCCCGAACTGATTCAGGGGACTTAATCGGGATTTCAGACATGGTGTCTTCCTTTGGTAACATTTCTCTCTTTTCCCACCATGCTTTCCAACTTTTCTAAGCACCTTAAAAGGGAGTGATGAAACGGGGAAGAGCTGCCCAGAGCTTTGGCCGGTCTGGAAATGCCACGGGCCAGAGTGAGAGGTTTTCCTTGCAATTCTGGAGGAAATTCTGGCTGCCCATTGAGAACAGGGCCACGTGAGCCACGTCTTCCTCCACATGGGCGGTTGTCTTTCATGCATTCTATGATTAGGTGGGCGCCTATTAAAAAAAAACAATCCCAAACGGGCAAGAAACTGAGTGAGCTGTGAAGAGATTTTTAGAGGGGTGAGCAAACCCGTTTCCGGTGAAAACTATATGGAACCAGAGTCTGGGAAAGTATCCATTTGCAACCACAGTGATCAGCGTCCTTTTCCCATTCTCTGGACAGAACGTGGATAATCCACTTGGAACACATCTTTGTGAATGCTTGGTTCGCGGAGCCCGTTTGTGTAAAGCTGTCGCTCCCGCTCTGAGTAAGGAGATGAAGCCATCTTACTCGCTGCTGTGTCCCTCTGTACCTGCTCTTTCTACCCTGGGAGAACCAGAACTTCTTAGGTGGCAGGTTGGTTTACAATGAAGAAGGCACTGCATGGGAAGGAGGTGAGAAAGAGGGACCTCCAGAGGTCTTCCAGACTGTCCTCTCCCTGCACTGCACTAATGACTTGGTCTTCCTTCCACGGAAACTGGTATTACTGTAGGTCTCATCGCACTTCCATCTGCATTAGCTAGAATCCGGATTTCTATTATTAGTCCTGTCTAAAACTATTTCTTCTAATACGCACCAGCTTTCTTAACTTTCTTTGGGTAAGAAAATGCAGATGCGCCTTGCTGCTACTTATTCTGCAAACAGAGGGAACGCAAGCCATTACTCCAAGCGCCTGGCCTAAGAAAAGTTCCTTTTTTAAACCCAACCCCTGTTTTACAGTTCCAAGCCACTCCGGCCCATATAGCTGGGGGCTGCAACTTTCTAAGCGCTGTTGTTTGGAAAGGAAAGTTTTCAAGTCCTGGGGCAGCCTCTTCTAGGGTTTGGATGGGGTATTTAGAACTCCTTGCGTGTGTGAACAAGCCACTGTCATCCAGAGCTCTATATAGGCAGTGGAAAGGTTGCATTTTCTAGCCGTAGCTCCCAGGACCTCCCACCCGCAGCCGACGTGGCCTGAACTGCAGAACGGCTGACGTCCTTTGCATGACAACATGCCATTAGGCAGAGAGGGATCTGGGGGTTGTGCTTCTCCCCAAAAAGGGACTTCTCCGAGCTGTGCTGAAGTGAGATCCATTTTTCTGTCCAGGGCCACCAGGGAAGGGAGGGGGAGGGTTGCTGTTGCAAATCCTGGCTTTTTCTTTCTGCTGCTGGCTGACATACCAGGGAGGAAGGGAGCCCCTGCTCCTGGCTGCTCACGTCCTCACAGTGGCTGCAAGGAAGGAGGCGGGGGGGGGGAGACGCTGCAGGGAGAGAGGACCACACACGCATGCAGCCTCTGAGCTTGGCAAAGGCAAGGGAGGCATGCCTCTCTCTCTCTCCTCTGTGTGCCCCCCCCTCCGCCAACCGAGCCTCTGATGGCAAAGCAGCCACCCACCCACGTTCAGCAGGGAGGCCAAAAGCATCAACGTCACCGGGCCAGCCTGGGCAGAGAAGGGCTCCTGTGTTTGAGGCACCGAGAGGCCCAGGCCGGGCCTGGCTGGCTGGCTGTCCATCCGGCTTACCCTCCACGGTGCCCCCCCAGCCCCTGGGGGGGAGGCTCACTGGCAAAAGCAGAGGGGGAAACGGGTCCTCTTGGCTTCTCCAAGCCGGCTGGAGAGGTCCTGGAAGGAAGCCGGCCGCTGGCTCGGGGGTTTCATCCGGCCAACACCAGAGTGAGGAGGAGACCAAGCATCTTACGAGAGGGTCTTTGTGGGACCGCCATGATCCCCCCCCTGCCACCCTAGTCAGGGGGAAGCATCTTACGAGAGGGTCTTTGTGGGACTACGACCGCCATGATCCCCCCCTGCCACCCTAGTCAGGGGGTGGAGGATTCTGGGAGTTGTAGTCCAAAAGAAAGTGTCCCAAAACACCTCTCTGTTGCTGTGTCTCACCTGCCTGAGGTGGGAGGTCGTCATGAGAACTGCAGTAGGTGGGTCCAAAAAGTGAGGGAAGAGTTGGAAAGTCGTCTCGAAGGCCCGCATTGGCTCTGATTCTCGGCTTTTGGGCCACGGCTTTTATTATTCTGAGCCAGCTGGTCCTCCAAAGAAACGGCTTTTCTCCAGCCTCTGGATCTGAGCCCTCCCGGCCGAGACCTCGTCAAGCAGCAAGGGGCTCGCGTGGCCCTCCCGCCAACCCGTCCCACTCGTTTTCATGGCACATCATTGAAGAACCAAGCAACCAAAGTGGATTCGGAGTCGCCGGTGGGACTTCAGTCCGTCTTGATACCAAGTCCCGTGTCTCGAGTTTCCATCTGAGTTTGTGTAACTCCTTTGCTAGTCCAGACCAATGATTTGGCTCTCTTTTATTCCACGCTGGAAGATTTCTGACTGATCCATGAGTA